AAAACTGTGACTTGGTCTGTTCTGTTCAAGTGCCTCAGAAAATCTTTTCCGTAGTTATAACCAGTGTTGTTTTTCCAATTTGTTTCTGATTTTCTCTTAATGAGAGTTTTGACTTTTGGAAAAGATAGTGGCTGGTAGGTCTGTAGTTTGTTACTGCCTTCCTTGGCTAAAGCATCTGCGCTTTCATTGCCTTTGATGCCGCAGTGAGACGGAATCCACTGCAAGTGAATTTCTACCTTATTTGACAACATAGCAAGTTCCTGTGTTAGACTTCGTAGTGTGCTGTCGGTAGGTTTGGACTCAAGGGCCTGTACAGCTGACAGTGAGTCAGTGAGAAAAACTATCCTGCCTGCGGTGATTTGCAGATTGTTCATATACTTGCTGCCATCAATAGAGCTGAGAGTTTTGCCTTGTAGTTAGAGCAAGTTTGTCCGGTGGAGGCTGCTAGGGACACAGTAGTGGCATCTGGGTGTTTTATGTAAACACCTGCCCCACCATTCGTAGTTGCCTCTTTTGCTGATCCATCCGTGTAGATTGTTGTCCAGCTGTCCTGTGGGAACATGTTGTTGAGGTGTTCCATTGTGAGTGCTTTCTTCACTAAAGCGGGCTCAGCATCTTTGTTTCCCAGGTTTGGGATGGATGTTGACACATTGAGTGTCAATAATTCGGAGTCCCAGAGATTGAAAGAAAGCTCTTCAGGTGTACATTGTTGGTTAAGTAGTGAAGAGAATGACTTTCCAAATTCCTTCGTTAGATGGTTTAGGCTTGTGCGCTTTATTCTGTTTTTTGTCCTGGCTGCCAATTTTTCGTGTAATGGGTGGTTTAGCATTCTCTTCATTTTTTTAGCATGTAGAATTGCTTTTGTCCTTCTTCTTTCTTCTAAGGGGATGATGTTGGCTGCCTTTTCCATTTCTACAATAGGTGTAGATTTTATGGCTCCCAGAATTGTACGCAGACTTCTATTTTGTGTTTTGTCTAGTATCTGTTTTTTGGAATGGGCTGCTGTTATCCATGACGATGATGCGTATTCGAGAGTTGGTCTGACTGTGCCGGTGTATACCTGCTTCAAGATACAACTGTCTGCTCCCCAAGTAGTGCCTGTCAATTTCTTCATCACACCTTGTTTTCTCATAGCTTTTTGTACTGATATGATTTTTCATGAAATAAAAAAAAATAGTTTCTCTGTGAGAGTCACTGCTTCCCTATTTTCATGGTCGCGATGAGTTCGTACACACATGGTGAAAAGTTCCAGTCTAAAGGCCACCTCAAGTCTTTATAGATCTGTATAACTAATAATAGTTATAGTGTAACAGTTATAGTAATAATACTGAAAATAGTATTTACCAATAGAAAGAAAGTAAACAGTTATAAGAACATACAGGCAGGTAGGAACAAATTGAAGAATGTCTTGACATCTGTTTTTAGTATTAGTATAATTAATTATCCACATTTTTATCATTTTAAGTGAAGTGAGGCAAAGTGGAATACAAGAAGAAATGTTTTAAAGGAGAAGAAGCAAAGACAGAAACAAAATACACAGGGAGAGACTGGGAAGGTAATTAATCAGAAATTTATTGATACTGAATATATTTGGCTGAAAGCCACAAGTATCACAGTGTAGCTGTAAACCACTGTTCCAACCACCTTTTTTTTCAGGGTCGAAAGCCACAAATATCACAGTGTAGCTGTAAACCACAACACACAGTGCCAGGGCTCCCCATGCCACCCTTTTTTTAAAACTTAATTTCAGGTGAACACGGAAAAAGAATTAATTGATTCTTCTTTTCTGTCACGTCAGATACGCAACAGCTCTTGTGGTTCTTTTATTTCTTTTCTGTGGTTAAGTACCCGTGTTATTTTATTTGTTGTTAAAGATTTTGGTCAGAATGCATGCTAGTTGTCTATGTTTTCCTTTTCATTGAATTTCCTAGTTGCATTTAGTCATTGTCTATGGTCTTTTCATAGAATACAATCTCTTACCCCACATTAAATATGAGAAACATTAAATGTTATCTACACTGAAAAATTTTTTGTTTGAATTGTCTGCTACATTTACTAACCTCTAAGTCCTTGAGAACTGGATACACAGAAGTTCTTCCGAAGTCGGAGTACATCTGCCGGAGAGGCGGGGAACGAGAACTGCGAACAAATAAGACAGTAAAACGGGTGTACACGCAAAACTCAGGTCAAGGTAAAAGCCAAAAGTCCATTTTGGATGAACAACCGCGACTTACCGCCAGAATTCACAGCCGGTGAACAAGAAGAAGAAGAAGGATACACAGAAGAATAGGAGGTATTTCATAAAACAAAAACAATTAAATACAGAGGTGTTTGAATAGACTAGGAATTAATAGAAGGCTGTTAAAAAAAATAATAATTATAAAAATACCATGACAGTAACTTTCAATATTTTGGCCAGAGCAAGTCATTATCCTACGCCTTAGAACAGGGCACAATCGACTTTGCAGCCACATGTACACTCAATTTAAGATTGGCGAATCAGCCAGGTGTACCTGTGGATTGGCACTTGAGATAACTGATCACATCCTCTAAGACTGTCCCAGATACAGCGTATCCAGACAACACTTCTGGCCAAGAGAGTTGCTGATGGAAGCCAAACTTCACGGACCACTAAGTGAATTACAAAACACAGTGAAGTTCATATTAGAGACAGCATTGCAGATACAGATAATTTAATTCAACCGAATGAAAGAAGAAGAAGAATATTTTGGCCACATAAAAAAACAACAACCTGATATTACTGCCTCTGGTAATCCACTTTTGTGGTGCGGATGGGCCTTTGAACCAGAGGATTTATGGCTAGTGCAGTTGCCACGTATGGTGCAGGTTTGAATTTGATTTTCATCTCCAAAAAGAAGAATAAATGATTGATGAATGAGTCAGAAATTGACATCACTGTACTCTGGACATTCTCACACCTGCTCCATCCCCTGCTTCAGTAGCCAACAAAAAGTCTACATGCGATAAAAGTAGGCCTATGCTTCCCCTCAGAGCCACTACTCTGCAAGAGCCACTACTCACCCTCAGCCCGTTGAATTAGTCTTTCATTGTATGGATTCTCTGTCAGTTCTGTTGCACTGTCATTTTGATCCCATAGAGTTTTTACCATATCTGCTTTATCACAAAGTAGCTCACTGCCTGGTCGAGCGGCAGCAGCCAGTCTATCAGCCTGCTCGTTACCTTGCACACTTGAAAATTCTGGGCAGAAAATCCATGATTTACTCAAACACCTTAATAACAGCTTTCTCAAGGAAAACATTGATGGCTTCTCCGCGTGGGTTCCGGGGTCCCACTGTGGAGAAAACAAGAATAGACCCACTGCCTCGCCAACAAGCATATTGTAAGAGTCTTCTAATTGGGGAGATCCTTCGATGTCAGAGTACATCTGCCTGAAAGGCAAGGGACCACAAGTCTGCATACAAATAAGCCAGATTTGTGATATTAATGTGCACGCCACAGTCAGGTTCTCTAGCAAGACTTAAGTCCCGAGCTGGGCAAACATCCAGAGCTTTCCGCCAGAGCTTACAGCCAGTGAACACACAGGAGAAGAACATTGATGGCAGATGAGTAAGAAGAAGACAGTGATGCAGAAAGGAGGATAACATCAAGAAATGAAAGGACAGCAGTCTGAGAAAGTGTACAACCAGGGCATAAAAGAACGAACGAACGAACAAACTTTATTTTCAAAGGGTTACAAATTAGGCACGCAGGCCTGTCTTACATTCGGCCCTTCCAAACTTCCATCTTTCACACAGCAGTTATATTCATGAAGCATGTTATATACATGTAATAATATGCATATTATATATAAAAAAACAAAAGCATGGCTGGTAAAATATGTACGCACGCTCACGCGCCCAATGACTCACACACAAACATATAGGCACTAAGTACACACATACATCCACATACATACAAACATGCACACACACATACATACATACACACACACACACCCAATTCCCCCCCCCCCCCCACCCACCCACCCACCCAGACACCGACACACAGACACACACACACACATACATACATACATACATACATACATACATACATACATACATACATACATACATACATACATACATACATACATACATACACACATACATACCTACATACACACATACATACTTACATACACACATACATACATACATACATACATACATACATACATACATACATACACACGTTCTAAAACACACACGCATACAATCCAGACACATACAGACACACACACATGCAGTCACGGGCACAAACACTCGTACACATACAAACACGCAGGCAGGGAAATAGACACACACATTAACATACGCAACACCCAGACATACACAGATATACACACACAGACACGCACAGTCAGACATACGCACACAGAGGCATAACCCGACACAAGCAGAGACACGCAGACATAATATAATAGACACACCGATAGAGACTCACACAGATACACACAAAGCCACGCACAGACACATATACACATGCAGCCATACACACATACTGACACATAATGGCACACACACACACACTGACACACAGAGACAGACACAAACACATACTAACACACCCAAGAGAGAGTTCTAGAGATCCATTGCAGTTAACTTTCACTGTAAGATGGCACCTGATTTGACTGAAAGTCTTCTACCTCCTACTGTTCTCTTTTATAGTGTTCTGTAAACTCTAGTGGAAAGTTCTGCTTGTTTCTCCACTTCTGGACTTTAGTCCTATTCCAGAACTTGAGTTCTATGTGCACTTCTGTTTTACAGATGTGGCTTATTTATATGGAGACTGATGATCACTGGCCTCTCGGGCAGACGTACTCTGACCTTGAGGGACACACCCATGATTAGTCAAATTTTATGACATGCTTGTTGAATGGCAGTGGGTTTTTTCCTTTTTTCGCTTGCACATTAGGGTCCAGGAACCCGCCTGGGGATTCTACCTCTTATGTGTCTTGTGTGTATCTGTTTGACAGCATGGACAACCTGAGCTTGGGTTCTGGTGATATGAAAGAGCAGAGGTGTAAACTGAAGAGCCAGGAGCACACAGAACAGCTGATTATGAACATTGACTGCATGCGTATGGATGCAAGTTATTGTGACATTGTTATAATCATCGATGATCACAAGTTTCCATGTCACAAGGTAGGCAGTGCATTGACTGTTTAAGTCTTTGTTTTATTTGTTCTTTCATTCATCTGTTAATTCTTAGTCTCCAGCTTTTATTTTTTCACTGAATATTAAATAAGTAATTTTCATGCTACGGAGCACAATGTGTATATGAGTTAGTCGAAGAAGAGGAGAGCAAAGAAGAACCTGGAATGACAACATCAGGAAATAGACTGGACTAAGTTATCTTACACTTATTCCGTATTCCTCAAGCGGAAGATAAAGATGACAGATTTTATGTGCTAGTACTACATACATACATCTCCACGACCCTGACTGGTCAATGGTTATGTTGTATTTATAATTAACCTTTTGATGCTGTCATTCCATATTTTGTGTTTCTTTTCCTTTGCTCTGTGTTCATTATATTTCTTGAGCTTGGTTCTCTGGTGTAGTTTGTACCAGGGCATTCTCATCAGATGGCCAAACCATTTCGTTGATGGCTCTGTGATGAATTATATGACCAATTTTAGTCCTAGTTTTCTGATTTCTTTAATTTTACTTTTTCTCATTACTCCAGCAACTCCATTACTCCAGATATTTCACCTCTGTTGCTATAATGTCCATGTGTTGATGACTGCAGTTGGTTTGAACAGCAGACCAACATCATGGCACAAGTGTAGCAATCCATAAATGCTTTGTTCTATTTCTAACCCAATCTTCAATCTGAAGAATCTTAGTGCAGTGCACAAACACTGTAGCACCAGCAAGGATCCTGAAATACTTTGGGTAGATTTTTAACTCAAAATTTTGGCCAGGCAGTGCTGTTAGGCTACTCTTTTTGATTTCTTACTGTCAAGGGTTTTTGTGTGCGTGCGCTGCAATACTCACAGGTGTCCGATCTTAATACCCAGAGACCAGGGGAAAATACTAAAGTCCACGTAAAAAATTCCCGGCCTTCACCAGGGCCTGAACCCAGACCTTCAGCACGCAAGGCGGACGCCATGCCTAGAGACCTCTTTCTACGAGCTTGTGTATACTTTGATATAGCCAACTACAGTAAATCCTTGTTTACAAGAATTCCAAGAGACATAAAACCAAATTCATGTTAAAAAAAATACCTAGTGACCAGGAACAAAAAATAAAAATACATCACTACTAGGGCCAAACTTTGGTTCATGGTAACTGAATGATCTTAAGTGAGTTTGTATCAAGGAGGTTGTACTGTAGATGCATCCCCAAACAGATGTTATCACTGGCCAGACGTATCATTCAGCTGAATACACATGCGAAACTACTTAATACAGATACTTTACAAACCACACTCAACCCCGGGATGAGGAATGCGAGAGGCTGTGGCAAGCAGGTGAAAAACTGAAGTAGCAGGCAGCTGACATTTCTCACAGACCACCTGGTCGTTGCTTTAGCCCTGCTAGGCATATGAGGCACATGGCTGTGTCAATCTGCTCTGTTATGGGGACTGCTAAAATTGAAATATTTTTGTTACGTTAAAAGACTATAATTCTTATAAATATCATACTTGAGGAAAAAGCTGAAACAAGGGATCAACAGGTAGACAACGATACAAGTGTGAAGACAACATCACGAGATAAAGAATATCAGTATGAGAAAATGTTATGGTAACAGATTATTGCAAGTATAAATGCATTCATTTTCAGAATTGCTTCATGCCTCACTTGAAACTTGATTGAGCGCCCCTAGGGTTGAGGAACCACAGCTTTAGGGCCTTTGTCCCAATGCAGCGTTATAATCCTCTAGCAGAGCAGTGCTCCAAGCCCTATTTACATAATAGCTTTTTCTGTAATCACCTCTACATGAGTGGTTGTGTTGTGGTTTACAGCTAGGCTGCAATATCAGCGCCTCTTGAGCCAACACATCAAATTTTAGCAAACCCGTAATTAGTCACCTTTTAGAACATGCTAGTTAGGGGGCAGGGGGGTCGGTTCTTATTCCCCCCCCCCCCCACTCAAAGGGGCCCAGTAACTCAGAGAGATAATCACAACAATTAATATTCAGTTCTAGACTACATAAATCAGAATGAAGTCCCCCATGCTATAGGGCCCTTGGGCAACTGTCTAGGATGTGCAGTGTGTTCACACTGCTACAGTCAGTGGTTGATAATGGGCAGGACAATAACAAGATTGTATCTCAATTTTTCACATTTTAAAATTAATTGCGATCTTTATTGTATATCTCTTCAGGTTATACTTGCAGCTGGCTCCCCCTATTTCAAATCCATGTTTGCATCTGGCATGGAAGAAAGTCGAAAGAAAGAAATTGAGATTAAACTGATAGATCCTGTTGTGTTTGGCCAGGTTCTTCAGTTTATTTACACCGGAAATGTGGACATATCTTCACCAATTGTCCAGGAACTTTTCATTCAGGCACAGTTGTTCCAGGTGACTTTTCTGTCTTTTATGTTAGACAAACTGAAGAACACCTACTGGTATAAATAAAGGATTCAGCCTCTGAGAGTATCATGAAAAGCTAGAAAAAACAAATGAGGCAGTCCTTCTCGTGAGCAACGAAAACCATTAACTGACTAGACATAGTAGATGTAGTCAATGTTGGGAGGGGGGGAGGGGGGGCTTGTTATAAATGGGAATGGACTCAAAAACGTGACTGGTAAGATTTATGGAAAGAAAGTAAGGGAAGGACGACAGACAAAAACATGGATGACTTGAGAGAGGTAAGTGACACACCGACCCTCTTGACACTTTCTGTAGCTATGGAGGTGGAAGGTGGAGAAGCCACAGCTGTGGAATATCCTCTTCACCCCAGGGAGACCTATAAAGATGTAGAGGTTAACCCAACTCTCTCTGTCTCTCAGAAACAAGCTATAGGGCAACTCTTGTCAGAGTACGATTCTGTCCTGACAGAGAAGCCAGGGCGCACTTCATTAATGGAGTATGATATGACATTGGTTACTGATGAGCCTATTCGTCAACGCCCTTTTCAGATCCCTTTCTCTAAAGAGGAAGCAGTAAGAAAGGAGATCGAATATCTACTTAAGGAAGGTGTGATTTCACCCTCAGAGTCCCCTTACAGTGCTAATGTGGTTCTCTTGAGGAAACCTTCAGGTGAGCATCGTCTGTGCATAGACTACAGACAACTGAACAGGGTAACGGAATTTCTTCCGGAGCCCCTTCCTGATCAGAGTCATCTGTTTGCCCGGCTCAATAAGGCCAAGTTTTTTTTCCAAAATTTACCTGAGCAAAGGGTACTATCAGATCCCTGTCAGGAAAGAGGTGCGTAAATATTTAGCTTTTAGCACTTCAGATGCCCATTATGAATTTAACGTCCTTCCTTTTGGAACTTGCAATGCTCCGGGGGCCTTCACCAGAATGATGAGACTGCTTTTAAACCCCTTGGGGGACCCCTCTATCTCCAATTTTATGGACGATATTCTGGTGGCTTCCGAGACCTTCGAGGAGCACTTAGTTTCGTTGCAAAAACTCTTACAGAGGTTGAAAGAGACAGGTCTGACTGCCCGACCTACCAAATGCAAATTGGCTTGGCGGGACTTGGAGTTTCTGGGGCACACGTTTCTGAAGGAACCATTAGCCCAGAACCCAAGAACATTGAGAAGCTTAAGAAAGCTCCTAGACCTACAACGAAAAAGGAAGTCCGTTCCTTTGTATCCCTGTGCGGATATTATCAAAAGTTCATTCAGAACTTCAATTCTATAGCGGCACCTTTAACAGATGCCACCAAAAAAGATCGTCCTGAGAAGGTATGTTGGACCCCTGAGTGTGAAGACGCTTACCGCACTCTGAAAGAGAAATTAACTTCATCCCCTGTGCTGCAACTTCCGGACTTATCTAAGCCCTTTGTTTTGCGCACTGATGCGAGTGGGGTGGGAATTGGGGCCACAATCCTTCAGACAGGTTTACAGGATTCTGAGACTCTCTTTCCTGTGGCATATGCCAGCAGAAAGCTCAACCAGGCTGAACGACGTTATTCCTGTATTGAGCGAGAGTGTCTTGCTTTGGTTTGGAGCGTACAGCGGTTCCAACCTTATTTATATGGTGTACAATTCACGGTACAAACTGACCACCAACCCCTCGTATTCTTGGCATCTTCTACCCATTTGAATCCAAGATTGATGAGGTGGTCTTTGCTACTACAACCCTATTCGTTTACTGTGGAATATATTCCTGGTAATCAGAATGTGGGAGCAGATTTCTTGAGCCGCCATCCCTTGTCTGATAATTCACAGACTGAAGGTGATGAGCAAGCTGAAAGTAGTGAGTTCATAGATGTGTAAATGGCTGATCATTTTTCATTCGCGTAGTACGCTCTTCCCTTTGGGGGGGTACTGTCGTGAAATGATAGCCATTACGCATCGGTCTGTAAGGCTGATAACCTGCCTTACCTGTACTCTGCACAAAATTCAAACTTGGACTCGCCCAGAAATATATAGTCCCTTATATCTATATATATAGGCCTGTATTGGACAACATTATTATGTCTGCCTTTTCTGGTTACTTTAACTAAACTCCACTTTTAAATGTATATCTCTTGGAGATATATTTAGGGAGTTATTTGAGGTTTCTTGGAAACCGATTTACTCCTTGCCCCAGTATACAAGGAACTTCTTTTGTACCAATGCCTGAAGTGTCTAAGCGACGCTATTCTCCTTGCCAGCTTCTCAAGCGTCCAGATGTGTTAATCTGTGCCTGTATAACTTTCACTTTTCAAGGCAATCTGGAAATGTCTCAGTTTTTACATATGCTTGGGATGTATATTTTCTGAAGAGCTGGCAGAAGATTCACAGTCTCACCAACATCCACCAACCATCCAACCACCAGAACCAACTTGTTGCCCACCAGCTAACACCTGTGAAGGTTCCTGACATCTCCAAAATGTGGGAGATTGTGCCGCAAACAGCTACCAGTACTAGAGCTTAATGTGGCTCAAAGACATTGTGTGTCCTTACTGGTGATAGAGACTTGCTAAATACCGGTACAGTTGCTGTATAGTGAAGTACTCTTACTACTTGATCCAGTGGAGCAGAATTCCCAGAGTCAAAGACAGTCGAATCATCCGGAGCTGAGGGAGGCATCATAGACAGAGAGAAGAGAAGATAAGTCTAATGCTTCGCATGATGTTGTGTTCCTCACAGCTCCTTGTGTCCAGTGATGAGAAGATGTCATCTCCAAGACCTTCTGTCTGTGTAGTCTCTTAGTGATTTGGACATGATATCCTGAGATCTGGCATTTGTCTCACTTTTATATATCTAATTTATATTGATTACATACATTCATTTTCATGGCTGACTTAGGTGTCTCTATTTCACCTTTTTAAGTGTTTAGCAGTTGTGTATGTATGTGTATCTTCATTATATGTGTTAACATGGTTATGATAATGAACTATCATAACCTGGGGGCTTTCTTTAGTAAGTAGTGGGGGTGTCCAGCCAAGTGTGCCTAGAAATATTATATATATATATATACTGACATATTTTGTAGTGCCAATACTTGAGTTGCCCTACTCCAGAGATAAGTTGATCGTATATTGGCCACGGGGAATCCCTTAGACCAATACGAGCCAAACGACTCAACATAATTATCTCTGAGTGCTGTTGGTTCTGAAGGAGAAATCCTTACATTAGGCACGCGACAGGAGTGATATGTGACACAAAGCACTAAACAAAAGAGGAGAGGGAGCACTAGGTTGACTAAGAACAAGAGGGAAAGATAACATAAGAGAAACTCTACGACTGCACAGTATATCTATGGTCGTTGCAGCCAGAAGAACTTTATAGCTCTCTTGACACCTAAAGTGGTGTAAGAGATGTGAAGATGAAGAAGTCCTACCTAATTTTCAAGAAACCATAGCTTCCAATGCTGTTGTTGTTTCCTAAGAATGATGTTTTCCGGACAGTTAAAGGAAATGTATATTGTTATCTTATTCTCTTTTTTGTTTCTGGTCTCATTTCTGTATCTCATTTTCTTGTTCCTTGATTTTTAATTAATTCTGTGTCTGCTGTTCATCTTTTGCTACATTAGTAACTTCATATATGAGTATTTTTATGCTAACTCTATTTGATTTATTATCTAGGATTTAAATCTGAATCGAGGCTCCTAGGTCGACCCAGCTTAAAATGGGTACCAGGAAATGTCCTAGCAAGTGAAATTGACCAGCTTGGTGTCGAATACATCAACTAATAAGTGCCACAAGTCTAAACAACTATGCGTCTAGCATCATATACCCAAATGCTTGACTGATGTAGACCGTATCCTTTAATTTACCAGTTTTGTTAAAGACATGTATTTAAAATATTTGACTCTTTCTTGGCCAGATTGGGCAACTTGTAGAGCTGTGCGTCAAATACCTGGAGAAGACAATGAATGAACCAAACTGCCTGGCAGCCATGACACTTGCTGAAGCTCATGGACATGTTCCTATGTATGAATTTGCCTTACGTTACGTCTGCTGCCATTTTGATACAGTAAAGAATGACGAGGACTTTCTCAAACTGTCGCCGGAATGCATCATTGACCTGTTCAAGGACAGACATTTGAACTGCAACTCAGAAGAAGAAGTTTGTACAGATTTTGTAGTATTTTGCTTTAAAATTTTTTTGAAGTGTCAGTGCAAATCTTTGTCATATTTTAATGTTTATTATGATTTCCTTGGGCCCGTGCACACTTCATGTAATTTTGTTCTGACCAGCGACCGTCTTATTACCCACACATACTGAACTACAGATTATTTCTCAAACTGAGGGCACCCCAATGTAACTGTCGTGGGGTTGAACAGAGTTTCTGGAATTTGCTGATTTGCTGCTGTCTGATTCTTGTCTTGAGGTGTTAACTGTATTGAGTGCAATACTGGAAGAGGGCGTGGATTTTTATCGTGGTGTTGGATTCGCAGGTCGACCCAGCCTCAAATTGGTACCAGGATGGTTGTCCTGGGGAAGTAAAGACGGCCGGCGTAATGCTGACCACATTACCCGCCGCGTGCCGATTGGTCTTTAAAAATATGGGTGCTCTTCCCGTATGCCCGATGCGCCTAAGGGCATGTAAAGGGATCTTTACTAAATGGCCGGCATGATGCTGACCACATCACCCATCTTGTGCCGATAGAGGTCTATAAAAATATAGGTCTAGCCCTATATGCCCTATACACCTAAAGGCGTGAAAAAGGGTCCTTTACTTTACTTACTTTTTACTTACTGGAAGAGGAGAATCTTCTGATACGTTAAAAAAAAATTCTTGGTTGATTCTTTTTCTTATTAGCAATCGCCAGTTGTAAACTCTGGTGGAAAACTGTGGCTGTTCATCTACTTCTGCACTATGGTCTTGATTCAGAACTTGAGTGTTAGGTGCACTTTTGACAGATCTGACTTATGTATATTAAGCAAACCACTGGTACTCCACTTATGTATAAGCAAACCATTGGTACTTCACTTATGTATAAGCAAACCGTTGGTACTCCACCTGTCAGGCAGATACACTCTGATGGAATCACCACTAGTCACCTTTTATGGGTAGTGGATTTGTTGTTCATCCTAAAATGGGGCTGGGGAACTCACAGAAGGAGAGTTGATTCAGTCTCATAAAAATCGGTACCATCATTGTGTCATTTTCTTGCCATTGGCACATCGGGCATACGGCTGAAACTCTTATTTTTATAAACCAGTAGGCACTCAATGGACGATGAGGTCACCATCATGCTGGCCGCCTTTGCTTCTCAGGACTTTACCTGGTACCTATTTTAGGCTGAGTCAACCTGGGAGCCAAGGTCATTTTAGAAAAGAAAAAAGAATTTAGTGCAGATTTATACCAAAAACCTTTGTGTTGTTAGGCGAGCATCTGGCCACTAAATTTCCGTGGCTCCATGAGTTAAATGCCTCTAGCATATTTTTTTTTTTACTTATGTCAGGTTTTGTATCTTGTATCCTGATATCCAGATATATATGTATATTGCTATAAGTTTATGTTTTTGTTTCTAATATTCTGATTTATCTTTTATTTTATTATATTTTACAATCCAAATATAGATATATTACTATTCAGAGTGTGATATCGATGTCTTTTGACACCTCTTCTGGCAGTAGACTGGGCCAGGTCCGTCTGTATATAAATAGAGAAGGCCGTGACTGGGCTGTGAGCAACAGGAATGGAATTCACTGGACCCCTACAAAACAGCTTGATGATCCAGACTTTGCTGATGATATTTCTCTTCTGTCCCAGTCACGGAATCAGATGCAAGATAAATATACTTGATGCGAGGTCTGAAAATCCATAAAGAAAAGACAATGTGAATAAATCAGGCAAATAGTAATGTGATTTCTCTTAGTGGTATCCCACTACAAGGACATGGAGTCGTACACCTATTTTGGCAGTAGCTGCATGCAGTAGCGACGGATAGCACAATTTAGCGTGAGTTTGTTGAGGGCCTATACTTTACTGGGGGATGTTTGTTTGTTTTAGTATCCAGAAGCCATGAGTTGTTAACCCTTAGACTCGGTATTATGGATAACGCAACCTTTCGGGCTTGATTCCATTGTAAATACCGTAAATCTGGGAGAAATGTGGCTTTTCTGCCTATCCCTGGGAGTGATCCCGGACCACAAGGAGTTCGTCACCCGGTCACCGCGCAATCCGGTTTAGCCAACTACGCTAGAGAGCCGGGCACTGGGGAATAGAAGGCAGGAAAGGATATCTGTTTATTTATTTGTAGCAGATTTTGTATTACTGTTGTGTATTGTACTTAACAGTTCAAGTATATATTCCTATCCAGGTTTATGAAGCTGCTGTCCACTGGCTTGACAGCGATTTCGACCGCAGAAAGGCATATTCTTACAGTGTCCTTTCCTGCATCAAATTTCCGCACATAAGCCAGAGCTACTTGATTGATGTGGTTATCAAAAGTGGGCACCTGGCCGATGACCCACATGGTAGAGAGTTGTTAGACGAAGCTGTGCTTTATCACACGGTGCCTTCTCGACGTCACATGCTGCCATCTTACCAGGTATTGCCTTTGGTTGATGCATATTTCTGTCAATTGCGGTGAGGAAAAAAAGGTGATAAAGTGCTACATATAACCGTGTTGGTATATGAATTTAAGACATGGACAAAAGGTAGACAAGCTGAAAAACATTTACTAGTAGAGGGGATGTGATTTTTTTTAGAAGAATGCTAAGAGTATTGGGGAAAGATAGAAAAACAAACCAGACAGTTATCCTCATGACAGATGAAAATGTAAATCAACTTGGTAACGGCTTGCAAGATTGATAGATATAGAGCAAGGGAACGGCAAAAAGATAATACCTGGATAAATATGGATGGGGCAGCGCAAGATGATTTATCATCCTGTTTTCATTGACCCTATTTCAAAGCCTATGTTTTCCATATGGGTCGTAAATGTCGACAAACTATGGATTTTACTCTGAAGTCAGAACACATCCGCCTGAGCGGGCAGGAACCAACAGTCTGCCTGCAAGCGAACCAGATCTGTAAAATGGATGTGAACACAAAATTCATTTTCTGGGACAAGACCAAAGTCTAGAAATGGACGAACAACCAGAACTTTCGCAAGAATTTGCAGACAGTGAACGCTAATAATGAGAAGAAAATATACTGTAAACCAAACCTGACATTTCACTTTGGCCAATGGCTTCAGGTGGAGGCACACACACTGGGGAAGATACTAGCTTTATCCTAAGATAAGGAAATGCAACCTTAAAACTGTTATGGCAAGACAGCCCAGGTCCTTAGCCTTGGTTGGCACCTGGTATAGGAAGTAAGCTTGACAGAGAGAGAGAGAGCACTGCTTCTCTGATCTGGCAGCTTCTACAGCATGCTTTGTTCCAAACATCTTTGTGATACCTTTTCTTTGTAGTTAACAAGGCAAGCCAAGCGAGGGATCATGCTGAATGGACAGCACATGATCTGTACAATACTGCCCAGATTTTGTGCTATAGAGAGCCAGTGACTCCTATTGCACAATATAACACTTAGTTTGGTTATCATCATTGCACTCCGGACATGTCCATAGGTGCTCAGATCCTCCCCTCAGTATGAACCCCAACGTCCGATGGCTAATATTACCAGTTCTATGTTGATCCAAAAGTCTACAATAGCAATACAATATAACACTATCGCCTGAAAAGATGGAAAGGTACCAGCAACACATATTCAAAGCATGTTAATCAGTTTTACAAAAAGCTTCTTTGTATTTTTTCCAGGTCACACCACGTTACACTTTTCCATACTACGAGTGTGCAATCCTGTTAGGAGGTCGACTGGTGGATGGGTTGAGCAACGATGTGGAATGTTACCGTGCAGATCTGAGAGAATTTTCACAGCTGCGACCCCTGCCATTCAAGAAAAGAAATGAATTTGCTGCTTGTGCTGTGGGTGATGAGATTTTCGTTTCCGGCGGGCTCCGGAGCTCTGAATTCTGGAAATACGACTCGACATTCGATACATGGTTAAGAGGTGCCAACATGATAGTGGCGAGGCGCAGGCACGCAATGGCTGCTGTTGACCACACAATTTATGCTTTGGGTGGTTTCGACGAAGAATTTGTGCTGGATTCAGTTGAAAAGTGGGATAAAAAAACTAACAAGTGGGAGGAAGTTGGACGACTTTTGACAGCGGTGGAAAATATGGGTTATGTGGCTTACGGAAAATACATCTACTTATTTGGCGGTAAAAATATTGAAGAGGTTGTTACTGATACAGTTCAGTGTTTCGACACCAGCACGTCAGCTTGCACCATCCTTCAGAAATCATTGCCAGCTCATGACATGTGCTTGAGTGCTTGCGTTCTGGACCGGGCGATTTATGTCCTTGGCCTTGAGGGGTTTTTCCGCTACCTGCCTGTCCAGGATGAGTGGGAGTTTCTCAAAGACATGCACCTTCCCAGGGACTTTGTCAGTTTGGCAGTTCTGGACCAGAAGATTTACGCTTTTGGAGGACGTCGCCGGGGGGCAAAGGACAATCTTTATTCAGACTCAATTGAAGTGTACGACCCAAAACATAACACTTGGGAATGTGCTGGTACAACTCCTGTACGCATGTACTCGTACGGATGTGTTCGAATATTGCTTAGCCAACAAAGGAGTGGCAGTTTGCACAGCCTCTGATGACATTCTTGCAGTTTTCAAGAAACAGCTTCTTGAAGTTTATACCAGTGGCCATAACTTATCTTCTAGCGATTTTGCTTCTCATATTTATATTATTCCAGGAGCTAGGTGTTGCCTATAATAATTTTATCCGAGAATTGAAGCACCATTTTAACAAGTGCACAGGTGCAAACATGGAATGGTTGTTGTTAATGTGACAGCATGGTAAATGGCATTGATGCAATAAGTCATAGGAGTAGCAAAGGTTTCAGCTTTATTGCAGACGAGTCACTCCATAACTGCCTAGTTCCTGTGCCAATGGAAATCACACAAAGCGCCCTCCACTGTTCCCGTCTGAATATTAGTTAAAAATAAAAGTAAAGGTCCCTTTTCCACGCCTTTAGGCATATAGGGCCAGACCTATATTTTTATACACCAATTGGCACAAGATGGGTGATGTGGTCAGCATCACTCTGGCCACCTTAACTTCCTGGTACTGTACCCAGTACCCACTCAAGGCTAGGTTGACCTAGGAGTTAAGGTATTTTTTTAAAAAATCCAGCTTCGCCAGGGAGCGAACAAACATCCTTCTGATCCGCACGCGAGCATATAGCCGCTACGCCAGGGCGACTCCCATCTGAGTACTAGTGAAAATGTTAATTAACCCTGGCAAAATCCAGAAACATGCAGTTTGTCCATCTTCTTTCTTCTGCATTTTCTCTTAAAAGGATAGTTTGCACATTGTTGTTTTATGCCTAGGCTGTGATATGCCACCTTTGGACCAATACATCTGATTTCTGCAAACCTTTAATTAGTCGCTTTTTTTTTCCGAACATACTTGTTAAGCAGCGGTCTCCCTCCCTCCTCCTCCCCCCCCCCCCCCACACACACACACACACGGCGGTCCCAAGGCCCTCATGTGGAGTACATCAAAAGAGATGAGGACCGTACATCCTCCAGTGAGATTGAAAGATTAGGATTATGACGATAGCTAATGTGAATCTGGAAAGTTCTTGGGCAATGAGGACAGCAGATGGTAGACATACCAAAAAAAGGGTTAAGCACATTAAGATGTTTGGCTTGTGTTGCTTTTCTTAAATACTCTCTGCTGTTTTGCTCAAATGTTCTCTGCTGTTTTCTCATGTGTTCTTTGCTGCAGGCAAATGTACTCTGAATGAAACACCCTTAATAATGACCTTTTGAGGTGTGCTTGTTGGGGGGAAGGGCAGTCGTCTGTTCTATTGCCCTCCAAACTGTGGCCCAGGAACAGGAAACCTCTGTTGTGTCTAATTAAGGTCAGCTTTTATTTTTTTTTTCAATTTTTTGTTTAAAGCTGCCTAATTTGTTTTTCTGTGCCTCCATGGTATTCATTGAATTAACTTAACCATATTTCTTCTGCATTTGGATGTTTATTTGCTTCTTGTCCATGTTTGACAATACAAGGTCATCGAGAATGAATGTAGGGATTTTTAACTTATAATGAAAGAAGTATTTAAAGGATATGTATATGTGACATCTTAAAATGTTCAGGAAAGTTGAAATGTTAGACAGGACTCTTCGGTATGGGTGCCATTTGTATCCGGTGATGTCTAGACTGTATTCAGTCTCCTGCCACGTCTTCTGAATCATGTTGAGAGTTGCAGTTGCTGCAGCAGCCTTCTCTTTTAGGTGGTGGATGTTTCTTATCTTCACAGTAGTTTTTTTTTAAACATATTCACACATAATTATGAATGTGAGAGTTGGAAAGCAACAGTAGATGTTGATTAAAAAATTAGACAATCTTGAGAACAGATGTCTTAGAAGAATACTGAATCTCCACTGAACAGATTTTAGATCCAATACGCAAATAAGACAAGAGACCAAGCAAGAAAAGGTTCCAGTTTATAAGAAAGCGCCGCTGGAACTACATCAGCCATGCACGCAGAATTGGTAAGACCAGACTTCCCCACCAAGCCCTCATATGGACACCGGAAGGGAAAAGAACACGGGTAAGACCAGACTTCCCCACCAAGCCCTCATATGGACACCGGAAGGGAAAAGAACACGGGTAAGACCAGACTTCCCCCACCAAGCCCTCATATGGACACCGGAAGGGAAAAGAACATGGGTAAGACCAGACTTCCCCACCAAGCCCTCATATGGACACCGGAAGGGAAAAGAACACGGGTAAGACCAGACTTCCCCACCAAGCCCTCAAATGGACACCGGAAGGGAAAAGAACACGGGGAAGACCAGACTTCCCCACCAAGCCCTCATATGGACACCGGAAGGGAAAAGAACACGGGGAAGACCAGACTTCCCCACCAAGCCCTCATATGGACACCGGAAGGGAAAAGAACACGGGTAAGACCAAGAGACACCCTGCGTAGAACCGTCATCAAGGAAGGCTCAACTATGGGCCTAATGAATAGCCAAGACAATCAGGTGGCAACGAACCGCCAGACATGGAGAGCTATGATCTTTGCCCTATGTGCCGCCTCAAGTTCAAGAGGAAAGACTAACACACACATAAAAGGTCTAGTGGTGTTAGATCTGGGTTTTGAGGTGGCCAGGGTATTAGTCCACCCCTTCCAACTCCAGCATTTATGTAGTCAGAATATTGGTCACCCTTTCCAACTCTGGCATTTAGAAACCTCTCATTTGAGACATCATACAAAATGCTACTTAATGAGAAGGAGCTTCATTCTGCATGAACTATCTCTTCTAATAGTGGGTTTTTTTTAAGAAGGGGAAAAAATATGACAACAGTTCATATGAGCTGTTCACCTTAGGTGACGTGTGAACTTACTCATGAATCTTCCTTGGTGGCTGTAAAACCCAGATGCGACAGTTATGTCATTTAACACATGGTCACACGAGGCTTTAAACCTTTATTATAAATTTAAGATGTCACACATACATCCATTAAATACTTCTTTTATAATAACAAGTTAAATCCCAGTAATCATTCTTGATGACCATGTATGTGGCCAGATTTATTGAGAATGCCATTACCAAACCAGAAATACAGTCACAGATGACACATGGAGAATAACTGATACACAAAGTGTGTTGTTTGGGACAGAGAGGGTAGCATGACACATGTCTGAGTTTCTGTTGACCATTTGTGCATTATATTGATATTACTTTTTGTTGTTGCTTATTTGTCATCCTCCTCTCTTCTTCCTTACTTTCACTGGCTGTATACTCCAGTGGTTGTTCATACACTTCTGGATTTTAGTTTTGTTACAGGACTTGAGTTTTGCATAAAGATCTGTTGCACAGATCTGGCTTGTTTGTGAGCTGTTGCCTCGACACCTCTGAGGCACTTGCGCACACTTGGATCTGCCTGACACTCAAAACTCCAGGAAGGGGCGAGACAGGCCTACAGTCAGACTGTCACTTGTACCACTGGGATTGTAACTGCACTTTTGGGAATATACCTTTATGTTGATTCTGAATTCAAAACATGGTACAGATTCCCCAAAAATGACCATTTACTTCTGTTTCATTCCCATTCATAGGGAGGCTTTTTGAATCACTGGGTGGCAGTATTTCAGAACGCAAACCTAGAGGGGGGAATTATTATTTTTTTTTTTTAATTTGCTGTCAACATTGCGATTTATTTGAGTCACTGGGTGTCAAATTGTGGAAGGGAATGTTCAATCCCCACAAAATAACTCACCTTGCTTATGAAGTAATTTTCCGGTACACACCTGCAGACTTAATGAGAAGAATGATTCATGTGTGTGCAATGGCAGTGTAGGCTTGATCCTTTCCCATGCAGGACTGCAGGTAACTCCAGGCTGGTGTTACTCCTTTGGACGCTCCAGTTATAACTTTGTTGGAGGTTGAATGGGGCACCTGGGATTTGCCTGCCATCCCAGCTGGGATTTTGTTATCTCAGGATGATCAGACCAGGTAGCATCTCTGAGGGGGCAAATGGAAGGGAAGTCACGTTGGCACCTGTCTTTTCAGATGTTTTTGTTGTATTGTGATTTGGAGAGGCGTGGGAATCACAGCCAATGGCAATGACGAGTGTGACCAGCAAAGGAAGGAAAGACACTGTATATTAAACATATCTATGCTGTTCTTGTGTACATGTATCTGCAGCAAACATTTTTACGTGACCATTTATTGCTGTATGTGTAGCAGACTCCCATCTTTTATCACAGATGCTGATTACGTCCATCTCTTATCATTAGTAAGGATTACGTTTTTGAGAGTGCTTAGGGGTATTCTTTCCCGTCTGTAATTTGTTACTCTCCTCCACACATGGGTCCTGGGAATCCATTTTGATGAAAAGAGTAGACTCCCTGCCTCCCTACTCCCTAACAAGCATGTTGCAAAAATTAACTAATTCAGGATTTCCCCCCAAAGTTAGAGCGCATCTGCCTGAGAGGCGAGAAACCAACAGTCTGCATACAAGTAAGACGCATCTCAAAAACGGATGTGCACGCAAAATTCCAGTTCTGGAACAAGACTGAAGTCCAGAAGTAGTTTTAAAAAAAAATAGGTCAGAATTTTTCCACTGAAGTTTACAGCCAGGGAATGCTAAAAAGCAAAACATCCTACGATTTGATCCCTGATCCTGAACAAAATATAATGTTCTTTTTCATAACCATAGTGCACCCTGATATGGTTTTGTAGTTGAACAGGGTGTCTAGGATTTGTTCCTCTTGGACTGGCATCCAGATAGCGGCTCACTGAGTTACTGGTTGTCAGTGTTTCAGGTTGCAATCTCTGAGACCGGATATACTACTGATGTGTGTTGTTTTCGTATCACAGGTTATGCTGATCTGTAACAGTGGATACATAATCACATCAGTAGATAATCTGATCTGTAACAGGAGGGCCACATGAATAGATACAGTGATCTGTAGTATATTCACATCAATAAATATGGTGATCTGTAGTATACACACATCAATAGATAGGGTGATCTGTAGTATATTCACATCAAAAGATAGGGTGATCTGTAGTATATTCACATCATTAGATATGGTGATCTGTAGTATATTCACATCAGTAGATACGGTGAT